GCGTATTTGTCATCTAACAAATACTGTTGGCTGTCCTACAAACGCAACATTTATGTTTATGAAAAAATCCTAGTCCTATTTTAGTATAATAGTCCGATTTTGACAATATATTTCAATACTATATATCAACTATAATACTGCCAACTGTCCGTCTTCTTAATCACAGAAACCAGCGCATTCGGATAAAGTTGAATTATTAAACGGTTTCCGGGTCTCGAGGGGGAGGTATATACATCAACCAATTAGATTTAAACTGAACACCGTATGTATGTTTCATGTGCACATACTGACGTAATTGTTTGCTTTCATCGTCGTTATTTTCATGTAAAATGTTTGTGATACGCTGGACTGATTTACAACATGTCACTTGTATTATAGAGCCCTACATATACATATATATACATACGTGGACAGAGAAATTAAGACACGACTACATGAGTAAAGTATATATATATATATATATATTTGGGGATTTGTGTTTATTTTGCATTTTATTTATGCATGGATGACTGTTTTCAACATAGTAACAAGTGTGTTGATGTGCAATTTGGTGTTTACAAGGTTGAATTCCAATTAACTTGGCGGGGATTCTGCATTATCGCTGCGTTGTCTTCAATGTGTTAGTGATAATTATATTAACAGCGTAAATGACTAGCGAAATTTCAAAATGAAGATGAATCTGTCATTTTCATAGAATAGAATTCACTGCTGTCTGAAAGTGTGTTTAATATGTGACGCGCATATGAATTAACACTATATTAATGCAACAGTTCCAGCATATATGTAACTTATTTATTTATGCAAAACTAACACATTTTATCAGGTAGCGAGATGAGGAAATGTCGTTTTCTTTCTTTTTTAACACGTGAAAACGTTAAAACATTAATGAGAATCAACAAAATTAATTAAACCATCCAAATTATGCTGTGGGTGCAAATGGGTGTATAACAAACTAAAACATACAGGCACTACTGTGTTTTGCTTAATATTTGTATTCGACGTCACGATGGCTTAGATAGTTAGCATATTTTGTTGTTTATTATTCTTTTAACGACTTGCTAAATATGATAATCAATTTCAATGGTATCCCAAGTATCCCAATTTTATTGTATTTTTTATTATAAAATCAAATCAAGGGTCAACCTAGTATTCAGATTGATGAGACGAAAACACTACTCTTTAAACACTGAAAATCAACTTTTCGAAACAGTCGGGTCACATTTCCAGAAATATTAGTGTGCTCAGTAATTGTCAGCTCGATATATCGCAGCATTTTAATAAGATTCGATCTATTTGTTACATGGCACGTACTCTTTTGTAGACATATAGCTACAAGGTATATTCGAATGTCTAACTAAATATCCAAAACGTTATTACAAATTTCCGCTTCCCTGAGATAGAATAAGTTAAAATATTGTTATTTTCTTTGTTTTTACATATTTGATATATAATATTAAAAGGATAAAAAAAATTACATAAAAATATAGAATCACCAGACCCAGTTCGGGAAAAATCGATCAATAATATACTGTACATGTGAAAATAACTTTCGTCTGTTTTTTTCACATTTGTTTCATATGCCAAGGATATACCTCAACTTCTCAAAATTTTGCTTGGTGACAAATATTAATAGTGATATACAATGTATTTTATGGTGTCTAGAAGTATTAAAAAATGACAAACAAAAAGGAAATATGTTGCATTGGGGTCGATGAAAAACGCAGCTAAATTGCATTTTATGTATATAATTTTACCGTTTCTCCCCAAAACATAATTACAGTGAACCAAACAGGTTTACATACTGTTGACAAATACTAAAAACAATAATTGTAGATACATTTTGATATGAAATATTGTCACACATACACGAGTATCATTCTACTTTGTCAATATGGTGATTTGAACAATTGAGGAAATTGCAGACTCTTTTATTATTAAAATACAGAACCAATACAAGTATGCATAGTGGCATCTTTGATATATTAAGGATTGATTCATTCCAGTCCTCCTCTCGGATATTCTCAGAACAATTTATTTTTATTATAATTGTTCGATTTCAGTGCAGCTTTGTAGATGCATCTATAACTGAAATCTGTCGACGTTTGATTGTGTGTAATTGGCGACAATTGCGTGGCTTTTTGTAACTGAAAATTGATCATTTCCGCGCCATGGTAAATCTAGCTTTCTTATCTGAATACATGAGATACATACACGTATTCATAACGCATACACATATATGTTTAGATAGTCTGACATTATCGTTGTCTTTCATCACGTATCGAATATACACTGTGACATTTAATTCTATGACAAGCATGATACATTCAGTGTTTAATTATATACATATATGTGTTAAATAACCTTCAACCAACGAAGGTAGAATACCGTATGTGGTCGTGGGTGATGATGTAGCGCATTATAAAATGTATGGCTTTTAGTTTAGAATCTAATGTTTAGAGAATATGATGGTTGTATTTTTGTAAATGACGGTTAGTTTGATTCTTCTGTAAAATATTGCGTTGATCAATAGATTAACGCCATGCAACCCGAACAGGTTTTTTTTTTTTCCGCGGGGGCGCCTTTGCGAAATCTTTGTCAATTTTACATGGCTACATAGATCGAAAAATCGTCGCATTTGAACACCGAAATATAAATACTCATATTTATAATCGTGACATCGTTATAGATGTAGTTGCCTTGTCTCAGATAACATTTGGTTTATTTTTACCTGAGGCATGGCGTATCAAAAAACACGTTGACATTTTCTTTTCCATGCCCCTCCGGTGAAATACTTAAACATTCATAACCAAACATCGATATGCCTCTGCTATGGCGCATGGTGCATAATATATCCCGTGCATACACAAAACAGATTGCAGACAATGCGCGACAAATTGTAAGCTGTATTTATTCAACATTTTTGCCAAATATTGACGTTTGACAGAAATCTATGCATCGCTTGTTAATTTATATATTCTAAGTTCCAATTCAATTTAATTTTCTGTGTTAAAATATTGTGAGTGGAACACAGAACGCAGAACACGCACTTTAACCATGTAAAATTTCGAGAAATGTGTAAGAGAGGCCAAAATGATGGCTAGGTGTTAAATGAATAGAAAACTAAATTCATGATGATAGAATGTTATTTATTAACTCAGTTCATTGCTATGTATGTTTCATTAATTACTGAAATATTCGACTGTAGTCCTGGCGAGTGAATCACAGACATCTCAAGGAAACCACGCCAGACTCGTATGCCGGGTCGTAACCTCTCCCATCAGGGGAACCAGTTGAGATCACCAAGTTCATTTGTACATGTAGAAGCTGTATTTTCAGTTAACGCAAGGACAATGTCGACATCAACATAATGATACTGTGACAGGGAACACTCAATCCGTACATGTCTATACGTGTGTGTAGATATATCCACGTGTTTATATTATCTGAGAGTCGTACATTTCTAATTAGTCACTGTGTGTCGGCGTTCACTGCACGCTATTTCGAGCTGTTTGTTTTAGGACAGTTAATGTTCCGTGGAAGGTAGCGCGTCTGTCTACAGTGTTAGAATTCCATGTTTCGTTATTTGTGTAATTATATTCAATACTTTAATCTGAAAAGTGTTTTCTGCCGCGGTTGTACTACACCCATTAAAATTTATTCAGTAAAAGCATATGTTGTGCGAGTAGCACTACCAGATTCTTCAGTGCGTAGCTTGGATATTCATGACGAGACCTCACAGACAACATCATCTATTATAAAGATCGACTTAATTGATAATGATAATTTTTAAATGCAGACTTAAATCATCAATAAAGGATGGCACACTGAATCTCATTACATCATAATAATTTTAATACTGTAACCTAAGCTGATAAATATGTTTTTTGACTCTTGGTTTGAATAACAGTATTCTCCGAAGAGTGAAATTACCACTAATGAAGTTATACCATGTTGGCTCTTAAATAAATATATTAACATTTAAACATGAAAACATTGTTAAAAAAGGTTTGCTAATGGAATTATTTACAAGACTGATTATTAAAATATGAAGGTCTATTAAAAGTTGGTATATTAGCGATATTGATTGCACCATTCTCATTATCGAACATACGTAGAATAATGTTGTTAAATATGCACCTTGAGATATCCGCGATACTATCGACTAATTTATATTCAGATGTTTTAATCCAATTAGGATAACTCAAAAGCGCTGCGTGAAATGAAGTACGTATATAATGTTGTCATGACAACAATGCGAGTAGAGATTTCGTATCAACAACATTCTATTCTACGATATCCATGTGATTACATGATGTAAAGGTTACTTCAATGCGAGCATTTTCTAGTTGCAATGCAAACAATACATACATGTACGTAATGTACGTTCAGGGCGTAATTATTTGCTGGGTTTTCCTAATTTCGCTGTCAGCTACATGTATCAAATTAATATGCAAAGTTAACGATGTAATGTAATATTTCATTCACAACCCAGTGAATATAAATACGCTGAAATTGAGCCCAGGGAGTATGTCCGAGTCCCCTTCTACAATATGCCACTTAATAATGGAATGCATTACTATACCACCTGAACCGCCCATCAGTACTGTGTCCAATGTAATAGTAATTCAAAAATTATCTGTTTTATTGCATTATTATTCTTGAATGAAACGTTGACATATGTGAACGCAAAAAGAGCTCAATGATTGAAGATTCATGCATAATTTATACTTTACTTCTATAATACTAAATTGCTATATTTATTTTAAATCCCAACGGTTAGCCATTTGATTGCCCCCCCCCCCCTGTGCATGCTCATAAATGTTTCATTTTCTAGTCATTTATTCCGATGTATATAGAATACAACATCATGTTATCCCATTGTTCTAGTCATTTTCTTCAATATATTTTATTATGTCTCCATATTATGTTCTAAAATAGAAGATCTGACGTGGTGAGAATTAAATTATAGATGTATAGCATTTACATTGTAGCACGCTTAAATGCCTGTTTCTATGTATTTAGGTGATGACCAGGCGACTGATAGATTTCCTAAAGGGTATGATATTCTACCAGAATGCGGAGGTTTATGGAAGGGACCGGAAGCTGGCTATATCCATTCTCCAAACCACCCAGGCAAGTACGAGAATAGTTTGGACTGCGTTTATGTTATTGAAGGTAGGTTCATTCATCAAATATAATATAATATGAAATGTTGCCATACATATTTTTATTATCGGAATAGCCATTTTTATTGGATTTTTTTTTCAGAACCAGTTTTTATTATATATCTACACACATGGTACATATACCTATTATTAATGGCTGCTCAGCTATATTACTTAACGTGTATTTAATAATTTTGAGATATTATATTGTTATCTAACAAATTATTATTAATATATGTTGGAATTATATAAAGCGAAATGATGTTCACACTGATATTATCTAAACAAATATGAAAAATAAATATATTTGTTATCCTATGATATGTCAGTGTAATGAAACTGTGTGATAATTTGCGATATCTTGGTGTAATTTGACTGGTTCTCTATTGACATAATGGCTGACTATCGTAATTATGCTATCAATGCATTCCCGAAGCGAAATTAGAAAGTCGAGAGAAATAATTGTTTTGGACAAAATCTGCAAAAAGATTTTTTTTTTAAATGTAGGGAAAAAAGTATCGCTCGAGAAGATCCCTACAAAATTGGTTTTATTAGAGGGCGCACTACACATTTATATATGACAAGAACAATAAAATATAATATAAATGCAATAAGATGTGGTGTATATTCGTGTAAATCAGTCGTGATCACCTTTCTAATCAGGCGTGTGTATCAGATGTAGCGAACTATGCAAAATTATCTAAACACGTCGTCAAATTAAAAGTCGTCTTACTAACCCCGTCTCCTACTAATTACCGGCTTGTTACCGTTTCACTTCTTCGCAGCCGTTTTCGGGCACGTGATTTCCCTGACCTTCGATTCCAACTATATGATAGAGAGTTCGGTAGACTGTTCATTCGATGTGCTGGAGATTCGTGATGGGCGTTGGGGATTCTCGCCGCTAATAGGCACGTATTGTGGAAATATTTTACCCGAACTTACTGTCACCAGCGGGCGCTATTTATGGATGAGATTCTCCACCGATGACACTGTTATTGAAACAGGGTTCAATGCTTTTTACGACTTCATACCAGGTAATAATTACCGCACTATAACTTTGTATAAGTGTCAATCAGTATGTATTTGCATTCTAAACATTTCTCATAAGCATTGCATTGTTCAGTTCGCCTTATTTATATTCCCCCTTAGTGGGTAATAAATAACTTACTCACATTCTTGCGTGGTAACGCCGGTTAAATATCGTAATTTTATATTTTTATATGTTACAATAGTGTATTATTGTCGTACAATGTATTAAAATACTACGTTTATATGACCTTTTTAAATACACGTTTTAGAAATGATGGCATTTATAGTTTACAGAATCGATATTTAATTAAAAACTCATTCATGTTCAAAACGACAACTTAAAAGTTACATGTCGAACATTAAACAACAGGAAGTAAACAGTTTACCAATTTTTACAACTTCAATATATGAGAAATGGGATACATTTATCTCAGTAATTATTTTGATGAATGTGCGTGTCATTTCCACTTTCCTAACTGCGATTTGTTATTCTTCAGAATTGACCTCTGGGTCAATTATAATATGCATGTTAGCGGTCCATGATACCTGTAATGTCCATATCATATATACTATTAACCATCTACTTATTTGTCCGTTTTCATTTTTTGTTTTGTTTTGTCTTTCTGTCACAACAAAAGTTTGTTTAAGTTTGTCCACTTTAAATGTGAATAAATAACAGAATGATTTGTATCTTAGTTAACATTTCAGATAGTTCTACCGTACGCAGACAAAAGATGCATGGTAAGTCTTTAAATAACTTACACATAATTTGTACTATATTATTCCTATAACTTATTCAACACACTTTGATTGATTGAAGGGAATTAACAGCTTTATTTTGTACATGTTGTTGGCATGACAAATCAGGTATTATGTACACATAGCCACATAATTACTGTATCACAAGCATATCAACGCTTTTTTTCTAGACTGCGTGGTTGAAATTGGTGGAATCGAAGGTGAAATCAACTCTGTAGAAGTCCATCCTAATGCTAAATCAAACGATATCGATTGTATATGGCAGATCACGGCACCTTTAAATCATAAGGTTCGTACAGAAAGACTTGTTCTATTGTATGTTGGAATCTTTGGCCGGAGTCCAGTTGGAAGGAACGTCAAAACTGTTTGTCCCATGTAATGTTCCCGTCATAACATCCTCGTCACATTGGGAAGCGGATTATCGCGAATAACTGGAACTTACCCTAGTTTCGATCCTGTAATTGGGATTTAATCCCATTCTAGAAAGCAATTAAGAAATACATAAAAACAACTGATGAATGATGAAATAACAATTTCTGTTGCATCATAAATTATTAATAAGGACGTTTTAATTCAAAAACACCATTCTAGATCGCACATATTCATATATGTGTACAGCTTCATCTCGGAATGTTGTGTTATGTACATTGCAACTTGCGCTGAAATACAATGTTTAGATTATATTTTCGAACAAAAGTAGAATATTTCTTCATATAAATTATCCATTATTTCAGAATTTATCATGAAATTTTAGTTTTGATGAAGACCAATCTGAGAAAGTTATACCTGATTGATTCAATATTTAATTGAAAATTGGAATAAACACTAGAAGCATTAACGGGTGTTATTTGGACATCAACCATTCAAAAAGTTTAAGGCTTATGACTTTTCTGGGAATATTATTGTCAGATATTTTTCAGCGTGTATCGATGTGTTCTGAATAAGTTATGTGAATATTGCATAATTTGGTGTCACATTGTTACAATGTATTCATATTATGGTAAGGCGCTATTGACGAAAAAAGAAAAGAAAAGAAATACATCTCGATTTTATATTTTATTCCATGTGTGTTATGTTTAATCCGAATATCCCGCAAAACTTTAACCAAACAAACTTATAGTAATACAACCATACATACCGTAAAACATGTTATTATGGCTAATCTTTAATTTCTCTAATCCAAGATGTCGCTAATTTAAAAGAAAGTATATTCGCACAATGAGACTATGCCACTATAACTAAACTAAGATTCTGTTAAAGGATGGCGGTCGTCGCGCTGCGCAAGTGCGACATTTGTGTTGATTAACATTGATTTTCCCACAATTCAATGCGCTCGTCTAATGGAAATAACAAGTATGAGGTTTGACCTGGGCGCGACTTGTACTAATTACCGCCGGTGACTCCTTCGATACCTTCCAATCACCTAAAAAAATACCTAAATAAAGCTTGGTTACGTCTCAGTTTGTATTCGTTGATCTGCGCAACAGCCAAAATCGCCATCTTTGTTTATATGAGACCCATATTTCTCGCGCATGCGTGGCGCGACGACTACCGCCCTTTAATTTAGTCAAATCTGGAGTGTAATTGATCCATCGCTTATACGATTTGAGACGGTGGGTGTCATTAAAGTAAAATTCGATCCATGAAGGTATTCGTTGTGTTCTTTCTACAGCTCCTTATATCGTTCAAAGAATTTACCTTGGATAAAATGAATATATGTGACGAGAATCAGGTGTCACTGTACGATAGATTGAGCCATCAGAGCTGTTTACTACACAAATTCTGCAGCGGCAGTGCCCCCGATGTCTTCTCTTATAGTAACAGAGTCTATATCAGATATGTGACGGGGACTCTGAGTCTTGAAAGTAGTTTTATAGCCACATACACTGCCTTTATAGACTGTGAGTATGCCGTTGAATGTGTTAAACAGGTTTCTTTTTTTAAACTTCGTAACAAAGAACCTCTTCTATGACGTAAATGAAAGAGTAAGGTTTGTCATCACATATTGCGTTGTTTGGTGGTCGTCCGTCGATAACGCACATATATATATATATATATGCTATATTCTTTAGTGGTGAACGACTGTACAACCAAACTGTGTTGCATATTTAAACATTGCTTACACGCGCACGCGTTATATTGACGTCAGAGACGCCATAGTCGTGTAGTGGCGTGAAGCTAGGCGATTAGGTG